ATTTGTTGTCGAAATCTTCTCTCCACTAGTTAGAGTCGCATAAATGACAAACAATGGGCCTTCCTTGGACAATGTTACAAATGCTCTTGCTCCAATAAATAAGGGTTTTTTGATTCGAAATCTTCTAACATACTTACTTTCGAAATGTTCTATAGGAAATGTCATTCTTCGTAATCTCCAATCTATGGATGAATTATGCATTTCTAACCAAGAAAGACCAAGAATAACAAAGTTTGACGTGATTCTAATAATATTAAAAATAGTATAACTACTATGGTCTTTAAATGTCACCTCTATAAGTTCTGATTCATGGATGACACTATTAGACAATAAAGGTTGTCTATCTATTACTTCTACGTGAACAGGTTTAAGTTTTCATACTAGAAGAATCTCTTGATGCTAACTAAATTTTTCGTCTAAAAAGTAAGCAGATGCTCCAGAATCTAATAATACTAAGGTTTTTAGTTTTTGAAGGCCAAAAAATAGAGGAATGATAAAGCAATGGACAAGCTAAGCAGAAAGAGAGGAACCTGATTGTTATTATGGTATTAAATTGTCCAGTTGCATGGTCCTTATTGTGGTTGGGCATCTTCGTTTTCCTGAATAAATATGCCTTTGGTCTTGACAATGCGTCGATTTTGCTTCTTGGGGCAGTTTTTAGCTTTGTGGCCTTCTTCATCACAATACAAGCATAGTCCTTCCTCCATTTGTCACTTTTTTCTTTTAAAGTTAGGAATTTGAGACGTACCGCATCAATTTGCATATCTTCTACCTTTGAATAAAATTCAGGCTGTTTGCTAACATAATTGGAGCGTGGTAAGCCGTATGTTGTCTTGAGCATTGGCCTTGGCGACGTTGGAAAAGGTGGTTATCACACTTTATAGCTTGGCTAATGGTTTTGTTGAGCATCTGTGGATTGGAAAGAGATAATAACAAATCCTTCACGTCGTCCTTCAAGCTCTAATAAAATTGACTCATCAATGTTTCTTCGTCCGAGTTAATGTGGCATGCTAATTGTTTGAAATCTGATGCGTAGATTGATGCAAAGCATGCCCTTTATCATAGCGACCGGATCTTTGTTGTAGTCCATTGCGTCTTATCATGTTTGCCAAATGCTTTCGCAAACGCTTCCAAAAAAGTTTCAAAGTTGTTCAAAATTGACGATCTTTTCTCAAACAAAGGAGCAAATCATGATAGAGCTTATTCCATGAGCAAAGTTTCAACCAATCCAAGACTCGACTCTTCCATCGGATAGCATTCGGGCTATAAAGCTGTTATCAATCTAATTTGATTGACAAAACCTCAAAACTTGGAACGCATACCATCGAACTTGTGTGGAAGGCTAATTCAGGGCTCTTTTCATTGTAAGACCAACAGTCCTTGTTGAACTAGAGGCAAAGCTACTTCTCTTGGTGCTGAAGCTTGAGGTTTGTAAATCCTCGATTGAGCCATCTCGGATGCTCCATCATTATGAAGTCTTCCAATGATTCCTTCAATCTCTACAGTTCTCTGTAATAACATAGCAAGAGCATTCATAATGGCATCCAACTTGAACTCCAAACTTTCAGCCATACTAATATCTTGACCTCCGGCCATTCTAAGAGAAGGAAAGAAATGACTCTATAAGAAGGCAGTATTGGTTTAGAGGAGGATACTTCGCAATCACTAAAACGCCTTAAAACCTTCAAGAAGAGGGATAATCCACTCTCTCTAAGAAAAATAAGACTCTAATATTATAATAGAAGAAATAACAATTTTAGAGGAGGGTAATCCGCAACCTCTAAAATGCCAGCACCTTCAAGCAGAGGGATAATCCATACTCTAATAAGAAGGAACTAGCTCTGATATAAAAGATGAGTGTAGTCTCGACAAACTGTCATGAATTTAGAATACTGATTGGAAATCTAAACAAGAAGTTCAAGAAGAATCGACAAGAACTAGATTAATCAAATGAGTACAAGAACAACACTAAAGAGGTGAGCTAGAGCTCCAAGAGGTATATTGTCAAGATTGAGGATCCCCTCAGTCTCGGCTCCTATATATACTATAAGCTAGGAAGCTTCTCAAGTAGCTTCCACAAACTAGGAAGCTTCTCAAGCAGCTTCTACAAGTTAGGAAGCTTTTCAAGCAGCTTCTACAAATTAGGAAGCTTTTCAAGCAGCTTCTACAAATTAGGAAGCTTTTCAAGCAGCTTCCACGAGCTTGAAAACTTCTCAAGCAGCTTCCACAAGCTTGAAAACTTCTCAAGTAGCTTCTACAAGCTTGAAAACTTCTCAAGTAGCTTCTACAAACTACAAAGCTTCTCTAGAATCTTCTAGAATCTTCTACAACTTCCTAGTGTATGTCCTTAATACAAATATCATTTCAATTGCCTGTTGGTTGCAATTATTTTATTCAATTAGATTTTATCTAATCTTATGATTTGATTTATTAAATACTAATAATAATTATTATATTAAAAAAGAAATAATCACCATTACTTCTTATTATAATAATAATGATTAAGAATATAAAAATAAAAAAGATATTGGATAATAAGCTACATTAAAATAATTTGGAAGGTTTTATACATTGAAATAGACATAATATTAGTATATTTATATAAGAATCTTTTTGAAAGCTTTAGAGATGCTAATTTGACTTTATAAGTGTTTGTAGGTAATTAAAAGGTTAAAAACTTGGGTAACAAGTTGGCCAAGTATTGCATATGTTGATCACATATCACATATATTAGCTACTTGTGGGACAAGTATTGCATATGTTTCTCATATGTTAGACTCTTATTTTATAAATTAGACACATATCCTATAAGTTGGATACATATAGGATGATATATGGAACATTACAATTTCAAAATTATAATTATATTTGAATAAATATTTACTATTTACTAATAAAACAAAAAAATATTTACTCTTTAGTTATTTTGTGATTCATGTCCTTGACATTAATATAGACATGATTACTTATAACTCTTGATTGAATACAACATATTTAGTATTACAACTCTTGTAAAGATTGTTAATATTTAGTAATATTATTGGAGGTAATTACTACACTTGATGGTATTTAAATGTCTATTTTTAAGGTAATTACTAAGATCTTAATAGCTATTAGAAAATTTGTTTTGTTTTGTTTTGTTTTGTTTTTTTTTTTTTTTTCATACAAACTATTACTAGAAGTTCAAAAGGCCTATCATCTATCTTTATGAAAAATATAATAAAATGTATTTTATATATAATTAAAAATATAAATAATTATTTTTTTATTTGGAAATTTTAAAAAATATTATTTATAAAATCCTAAAAACAATTTGAATCATTTATAAAATCCAAATAATATGCAATTGTATTTAAAATATTTGTTTCTAGTTACAACAAAATATTTATTTAATCTTCTTGTTTGATATGTATTTGATTCTAAGCTCTCTATAGATATATTTTAGATTGAACTTATTGATTTAAATATTTCAAAAATTAGAGATAAAATATATATATATATATATATATATATATATATATTAAAGTCAATCAGATTTTATATATCTCATATTAAATCATATTTATTTTTACAAAAAAGACTAGAATATCTACAAGAAAATTTGAAAATTAATTTTTTATAGAATAGGATATTTTTATTAATATAATATTGAAATGAAGCTTATTTAATTTTTTATAGGATGTATATTTATTCATATGGTAGCTAAGTTTTTTTTTAGGATCAATTATGCAATTATAGAGGTATATTTGAATTTGAATATTTAAGTTTTACTCCTTAAATGCATATTAATACCTCTTATTTTACATTAGCATACCATTAAAATCTTTATTTGAATAAAAATCAGATTTTTCACAAATCAATATTATTATATTTTGGTTATAAAATACTATTGCTTAAATACATACTAATTTAATTTTTATCAAACTCAAATATAATCATTTTTTAGAATTTTTACTTAGAGTAATTTAATTTAATTTAAAACCATGACTTGTTCAATATATCTCAAGATTATTATTTTTGGATTAAAATAAACTTAAAATTATAAGATTAAATAAATAATCAATAGTTCAATATAAAACCATGTTTTTATAACCACATACAAATGTTTCTATTAAAAAGATTTTATAAATGACTTTGCCAATGCTAAGAGAGTTGAATTGTATAGAAAAGATCATACAATTTTTTTGTATTTGTAGAAATTGTATCAATGTACAAATTACTTGGTTATGTTTTTAATTGAATTTACACTTATTTCTTTTAAAGTTACTACTTATGATACATACAAGTAGTTATAGATCATACAATAGATATACATATATATATATATATATATAGTAAGTTTATGAATTTTATACATCTATCAAATAAAATAAAATACTTTTATTTTTATCTTTTTATAAAAATATTAAATCCTTCATGTATTGAATTTCATAATTATCTAATCTATATATATATTTTTTCTTAATGAACAATCATCGTTCACATTATTTGCAATCTATCTTCTATATTTTTTGATTTAATTTTTTAAATATTATTAATAATTATATTTTAAAAAATAAAAGATGTATATATATATATATATATGTATAATTGAAATTATTATTTTTTAAAAATTAAAAATTAAAAATTAAATAATCTTAAATTAAGATTAAAATACTAAAAAGACAATAGCAATAATAAGTTTTATTTTATTTTATTATTATCTTGCCTTAACATACACTTTTTTTTTTTAAAGTCCAATAATAGGAGTTTTTTAAATTATGAAGCTTGTAAACTAAATGTTTTTGTCCAACACAATGATTGATGCTGGTGCTGGTGCCTTAAGAGGAGGGGATGTGGGAGAGGGGAAGGGAAGGGGAGGTGGGGTTGTTCCGTTCCTGGTGCAGGGATCTCTCTCTCTCCCTCGGCCTCTCTCTCGCTTCTCTTCGCTCGGTCGGTTCTCGGCCCTGCTTTCTCGCTCTCTCGCTCTATGTTTCTGTTGCCATTGACAGGTTGATACTGCGATCGTTCGTTCTCTCGCTTTAGCTCAAAGTCTGTCTGTCTGTCTGTTTTCATGCCATCTTCTGCCCTTTGGATGCGAACTTCACCTCGTTTCTAGGCTGGTGTGGTGAATGTTCCACTGTGTGTGAGTGTGTGTGTGTATGTGAGTGACTGGGTGCTCTTGGGGTGGTATTGTTGAAGCTTTCGCCTTACCCCGTGCAGGGTTCGGCTGCTGTGCGGAAACTGAGCTGTAGGTGGTGAGTTGGTTAGTTTCCAGGAGGCATTACTTAGCGGCGTCGCTGGCTCGTCTTAGGTTTGCTGGTTTTGGTGTGCATGGTTTGTTGTTTGTTAGTTTCTTCGCATGTATTTGTATGTGTTTGTGTTTGTATGGTTGAGGGCGCGTCTAGTCTGCGTAACTGCTGTGGTGATCCAGAATGAGGAAGAGTAGACGTCGGGTTATTCAGCTCAAGTTTTCGCTGAATGCTCCTTGTTGGTACTTCACGGTGGTTTCATGACTCGGTTGCTTCTGCAGGAACGTGAGGTCGATTGGATATTATGGTTTTTTTCGTTTCGCGTTCTCGCTGTCAGATCGTGTCAGTAATAATGTCAGACATACAGTGGCGCTGAAGCTCGTGGAGTTTGATTTCTGGTCTGCAAGAACACGTCATTGTGGTGATGCAGACTTGAGGTCTGTATCCTCTCATGAAATGCAATCCCTCGTGGCATTTCCTGTATCATGAATGCTCCAATCCTGAGATTCTCCTTGTCTCAGTCACCCTGGAGTGGTCTGTGCTGATGCCTCTTCTGTGAACACAATTTTTTTGTTTGTGCCAGGCAGATTATGAAAGTCTGGGTGGTCTAGCCCCATCATAGACTTACTCATCTACACCTCTAGCGTAACTTTCTCCTCCCTAAATTTCAGAGTAGAATTTTGACGCGTTTGACACACGTTGATGTACTTGATCTAAATTTGATACCCTGAATCGCCACATTAGTGCACATAGTTGTGTCTCATTGAGTTTTTTCTTCGATTTCGTCACCACCGCGCTTCTTTCTTCCCCGTGTCGATTTGGCTGTATTTATGCAACATGATGTTGTTTGTGGAAGAGATCTTGTTGAAGCAATCGCACTAAGAATCTTTTTAAGTCTTCTTGTATAGTAAACTTGAAATTGTGCATTGTAATTGATCATGAAAGTCGAGTGATGCGATTTCTAGAACATATTGGCTTCAGAGTGGATTGCCCAAATTTAGCTGAAGATGGAAAGAATCTCGAGTGATTATTTGATGCGAAGATTTGTATTTCTGTTGCTCATCATCCCCTTAACCTTGTCCTCTGCAGGTGGATGTACTGGATGGAGTATGGTTTATTTCCAAATGTTGCTATCATCATACTGCAGCATTTTGCCTAATCCTTCACTTCAAATCCAAAGGACTCACCACGTAGAGATAGAATTTAAGGCTGATTGTATTTCATTGAGAGATCGTGGACCCCTAGCTTCGACTCCATTCGAAGCAAGTTGATTTCATGCGTACTCGATATCGACCGTCTTAGGGGCTGGAGAGTGTCTCTTCATGGCATTTAGGAAAAACCCTCCAAACCTACCCATAAGGAACAATGCCAGGAATGGTGGGTACCGCGCCTCTGTCATCGCTCTCTTATTACTATCTGTACTCGCCCCTCTTTTAATTCTGACGAACAGGACATCGAACTTTCTATCATCAGGTATCGCTCCAATCTTTGAGTGCCATAGTCTAATTTCTTAATGCCAGTGCGAGTCCCACTTTACGAACTATATTCTGTATTGTCTCTTAGGCGCATGTAGTTTTCTTCAGGTACTTTATCGCCGAATTTTGCATTCTGATTAGAAATCTTGGGTTGGGGAGAAATCTCAACTTAGATATCTCATTCTACGAGCCTTCTGGCCAAGAATAATAGCAGCAGTATCAGTAACGATTATTTGAACCACACGGGTTGGGCAAGGACGCATTCTTCAATTTTCAATTTCAGCAGCGAGTGTCTTAGACTGGTGTAAACAATCTTGGAAGCTGATTATCAATCTGGTTGTCTAATTCAAAAGAATTTACTCTACTATTTGTGTAAAAATTTTACAGATGATTTAGTGGTTTTCGCTTTATATAATCATGTGTACATTATTAAGGGTATGCAGAGGTCTTCTGTACTAGATATTGCCCGGGACTGTGGAAAGCTCTTTTAGATAATCTCCACTATCCTTCACTCTAAGTGATTTACATTGTCGTCGCTGTTGTGATGTTTCTGTGTTTAGGGCTAAGCAGTGACCAATCTTCTGTTTCGGTAGGCCCCCCGCTCTTCGCACCTTTCTGATAATTGGCACTAGTTTCTTGATTTTTTGTGTTTGTCACTTAATGATATTGCATGCATGTTCACTAAGTCATTCTATCCCTGTTGCAGTTAAGGATAGAGGAGATACGAAGGCGCAGTGCGTTGGAAGGCATAGAAGCTTTGTTTCCGAAAGAGGTACGTTGCTCTTTCTGCAATAAGGTGTTTCCGGAGATACCAGTGCTTTGTCCTTTAAATGGTATAATAGAACCTCAGTAATTTTGAAGCATTGAACTTTGGTGGAGGCACAATTAAAATGAGCTCTACTTTTGTTAAATCTTCAGGTGTTAGACATTGTAAATTCTAATTCTGAAGGCACTGGGCCTCTGAATCTGAACGTTTTTGGGCATAATTATTTGTCCTCATCTTGGGTCCAAGAAGAGGGCAGGCTTTCTACGTTGGAGTCCCAGTCGTATGAGGTAAGTTTAGGATGAATATGCCGTGCATTGGCAGGGTACTTCTTCGTTTGCAGACGCTGCATGCGCTTCAGAGCACCCACTTCAATTTCCGTGGATAAGATGAATATGATGGTGATCTTGTCTATGTTGAATTGGATCTATTGATGACTAACTGTAGTGTATTGTTTGAAGTCTTCTCACGAATCTGTGCAATAGTGAAGATTCAATATGTTTAAGTGGAACACTACGTATCTGCGTCATGTTCTTCAGGACGCCAAGATAGTCCCAGAGAGTGGTGTCAAGAATAAGCTGGAGAATGAAGGATGGAACCGTGAGAAAACAGGTATGTAAAGATGTCTCTAAGATAAGTATTCGAGACGAATGTTTGATCTTATTTCGAGAAGACCAAGAACGTAAAACATTCCTAGCCATCATTCACAGTGCAGAAGGCAACTTTTTAATTGTTCGTTTCGTATGAATCCGATTTCACTACCAAGTGATTCAATTTTTTATGCATATTTTGCTTCACCTGATTTAGTTCTGACACGCGTCTTTATTTTAAAATATAAATTTACTGCTGCTTTATGTGTTCCTAGTGAGTGGCATTTAGACAGAGAACGATGTTAAGTCTCAGCCGAATTCTACAGGCATATCAGAGGAGGTCGCTAAAAGCGCCAGCACATGGAAACGAGATGCTGACATTGAGAACTCTGATGCCCTGGTCCGGCTAATGCGGGATCAGTTGATCACGGCTCGGGTCTATGCCAATATTGCACAGAGCCAAGGTCATTATGACTTAGTTCATGATCTGAAGCTGCGAATAAAGGAACATTCCGGCACGGTGGGAGATGCTAATTTGGATGCTCAATTGCCATCGGGGTACAGGACTGACTTTTGCTTTCAGTCTTTCCGTCACTTTTACTCGAGTTTACGTCGAGATATGGAACACAATGTACATTTGACAACTGAACTATAAAGGTGTTGTACATTTACCGATTTTACAAAAGTTACTCATCCCTTCTTTGCTGCAGTGCTGAAGACAAAATGAAGCTAATGAGTGAGCTTTTGGTTGAGGCTCGTGAGAAGCACTATGATAATGCTCTAATGGTCAAGAAGTTGAGAGCAATGCTACAGTCCACTGAGGACAATGCCCGTATTCTGAAGAAACAGAGCACTTTCCTGAGTCAGCTGGCCGCAAAAACTGTACCTAAAGGGCTTCATTGCTTCTCAATGCGTCTTGCCGTCGAATACCATATGCTCCCGCCTGCCAAAAAGACATTCCAACGAACGGGTAGGCTTGAAGATCCTAATTTATATCATTTTGCCCTCTTTTCTGACAATATATTGGCAGTAGCTGTCGTGGTGAACTCAACGATTCAAAACGCCAAGGTATGGAGTCTATCAAGATCTATTCTTTTCTGATAGAGGCCTATGGCCTCAGATATTCTATGTTTTGTTTTAAAGCGACGCTCGTTAAGTATGCTGCTGAAATGACTTGGTATATATGATCGAGTTTTCCATGGATCTGTCATAGCAAACACCTATTTCAACTTTATCTTTCTTGCAGGAGCCAGAGAAACACGTTTTTCACATTGTTACCGACAAGCTAAATTTTGGTGCCATGATGATGTGGTTTTTAGCAAATCCTCCCGGGGCTGCTGTCATACAAGTGCAAAACGTAGATGACTTTAAATGGTTGAACGCATCCTACAGTCCTGTGTTGAAGCAACTAAAGTCCACATCCATGAAGGATTATTATTTTAAGGCTGACCAGACGAATCTCCTCGCAGCAGGTACATCAAATCTGAAATACAGGAATCCTAAGTACTTGTCTATGCTGAATCACCTGCGCTTTTATCTGCCAGAGGTGTTCCCCAAGCTTAACAAAATCCTGTTTCTTGATGACGATATTGTTGTGCAAAGGGATCTCACTCCACTCTGGCATACTGATCTAAACGGAAATGTCAACGGGGCTGTGGAAACTTGTGGCGCCAGCTTTCATCGGTTTGATAAATACTTAAATTTCTCTAATCCTCTAATTTCAACGAACTTTCATCCAAATGCGTGTGGATGGGCCTATGGGATGAATGTCTTCGACCTGAAGGAATGGAAGAAGCTAGATATCACTGGAATCTATCATAGGTGGCAAAGCCTGGTAAGAAAATTAACGCCTATGTACATTTAATATGAGCAATTACCCCTCCATATCGTTTCTATTAGGTAGAAGGTATTGAATCAATCAGATCTGGTCATATGTTAATATGATATCTGCTCATGAGCTTATCGGAACTATTTATGGATCTGCAGAATGAGCATCGATCACTCTGGAAGCTTGGGACACTACCACCGGGTCTCATCACGTTCTACAACTTGACACAACCTTTGGAGAAGTCGTGGCACGTTCTAGGACTGGGTTACAACCCTGCGGTTGAGGAGTCAGAAATTGAGGCTGCGGCAGTTATTCACTGGAACGGGAACATGAAACCATGGTTAGAGATTGGAATGGCAAAATACAAGCCGTACTGGACCAAATTCGTTAATTACAACCACCCTTACTTGCAGCAGTGCAACGTTATCAACTAGAGTCATTGCTTCGAGTGCCGTAAAAATGACTTGGAGGTAAGGTGCTGTTCTGTGAATTACATGGCTACTTCAAGGGCTACCCTTGTAGTCTCTTCATCAGTGCGTGCCTGGACTACAAGGACCAGCAACCCGCTTGCACATTGTTGCAATTACTCGTCCTGTTTCAAATAATTGTTCTCTTGCTTTTCGATATGGGGCCTCGCTGTATCGTACCATCAAATGAGTTAAAACGAACCACTTACTAGGTAAGTAACATGTCTATGGCAAGCTGTTGAGCTGGAAAGGTTTTTCAAGGCAGGTTCCAAATTCTTTTCTGACTGCTAGTTGAGGCTCCACTTTAGATAAGTCCCTCGTGTATTGTATCTAGTCAGTACTAGCATCGGGTTCAACAATTTGTATGTAACAACCTTTGGATTCTTCTTGTTCGGGAATGCATGACAAGACAAATACCATTTCAAAAATTGGTCTATCTATAGATTCATGTAGAAGAAAATTGAGACTAATAAAATTTATATTCAAAACCATGAAACGTCCAAGTTGGGTTTCACAAGGTTACAAGCAAGCCTAAAATGACTCTTTCTCTCTCAAATATGATATCTTTAACCATTACATTAAGCAGTACTTCAATGATGCAACCAAATAGGTTTCTTGTAAGTTGAGTGATTATGCCAAGTACTCTTGCATCAACTACATCTAAACATTCTTTTGGTTATTTTCATATCATCTATATTAATCCAAAGCTTTAATAGGTGGCTAGATGGACGTTGTATGTAGAGTTATAGGATTAAACCAACATCAATTTTATTGTTGTTTGGTTTTGTTCAATACTCCATAGATGGTATTGGGATAATGGCTACTCCATAAATTGCTCATTGGGCTTAAATAGTGTGAAAGTAAGCAATGTAGTAAGCAACTAATTATTGCATAAATAGCACAATACTAATTACATGTACACATGGAATTCCAAATAGTTGCCATTGATTACAAGTGCATGTGGCATTTTGTAAATCTAAAACATTAGATGATTGCTTTGATATACATTTGAAGATAGTATCAAATGAAGGAATGATGCAATAGCCATGTGCAAATTTCATTGACTATTCAATTTTTTGTTACACACTAGTTAATAATAGTCTTATAATTATATTGATAATAATATGTTGCTCATTGTACCATGCTACAAGCATCCAATAAATTATTTTTAATATTGAAATTAATAATATCTAACATGCTTCTAAGATCGAAGAGTTTAGAAATTGTGCAATATTCAAAGTCATGTGGCTAAATTGGTTTCCATCAAACTGTGATGATACTCAATATTATGGTCTAGTGTTCATTAAGTATTCTTTAACTTCTTTAAATACAATCCAAACTTCTCACAATTTCATGTTGAAATCAAGAATAGTTAGTGGCTATACTAGTGCCAAAAGATATTATACAAGCAATAGGTTTTTAAATTGCCATTGCAAGTTCTTAGCTAAATAGCACATACAAAATGTGCATTTCATGTTGAAAATACATAATTGACAACACTAATGAGACTTTTTTGTCAATTAGACAAAAATATGAACTTTGGAAGTTTATAGTTGCTTAGACAAAATGCAAAAATCATTGTCTTTAATTTCTATAAGAACTATAGCCAATTGTTGTCATTTTTAGCATTGACAATATTAAATCAAATAAAAAATAGTTATTCCTCAATATCAAATCTTGTAGCAATAAAGAATATTTTATAGAAATGAGGGTGATATCAATGCTAATGACAAGTCGAAAATGTTGCAAGCCTTGTAAACTTCTGTTGCAAGCCATGTAAAAATTGCTGGAAACCATGTTCGGAAGTGGGGGTAACCTAGCCATGGCACAACGATTTGCGTTTGAATCCGACCTTGCTACCATTCTCTTGGGTGCAGGAGCGTCAGTCAAGATTGTGACATTCAAAGGCATGGCCGATCACTCTTACGTGACAAAGAAGTTCTCTTCATCGATTTCTGGAAAGAGGGGTTGTGGATCATGTTAGTGTTCTGCAATCGGTGTACATTCCCCTCGAGGAAGATACTATAGCCGCGAAGATTGCCTTTCGATGTTATAGAGCATCTCTTAGGCCGAATGGTAATGCAATTTCGTATGCCAATGCCGCCTTTTACGCCCATGTCTCAAATAACTAGGAGCGAGGAACCACTGTGCTCAAGAGTGTTTGGTTGGCGTTTGGTGCCTTTGGAACGAAGCATGCAATTTGGGCTTTGCAAGTAGAGACGCTATTGGGCAGCACAACCCTTATCCTTGCAAGGGTAAAAAAATCTGTGGATCTTCTAAAAACGGAATTGGTACCGGTCGAAGGAATTGAAAAGAAAGAGTATTGCGTCAAGCCTTACGGTGGGATTTTTGTTCGAGTTTCTGAATTCTCTTCTATCTAGCGAAACAACCCTGACTCCTACACCTCTCGTAAGTACCCGTGTCGAGTTGAATTTGGAGGCTATGTCGTGGTTTCAGGTTGTCCATATGTCTTTGCTAGTTGCTGCCAGCTTCATCGTAAGACATGGTTGTTGTTCGTAGTTTTCTCATGTTGGTAAGCAGCGTGTGCGGTTGACGGACAATCAATACTGTATTTCGCAGTCCAGATTAAAGTTACATCGACTTCTTCAAACATCTGGTAGGTTTAGGGAACCATAACCAAAATTTCAAAGGGGACGCTCTCAAATGTCAAATGCATCGACATTCTACACACAGCGGTGACTAAACAATGCGCAAGCTCTCGGGATCGTCGTGGTGTCCCAGACCATGGCCGGCTATTCGTTAAGGAGAGTCCCATGAGAACAACGGATAATAGAAGGTCCCAATCCCAACAATTCAACCACAACTTGCAACAAGCGTCAAGATATGAATTGAAAGATGTCCTAGCGACAGCACACTTTCATTCCAGTGCACCACTAGCACTGTGGAGCATCATGATGCACTGTGAACGGTGACATGTTACCACCCAGTATGCTTAGACTAAAGGGTCGATTCGGTGAAAAGGCGAATTTAGACCAAAGTGTTCCACTGCAAGGCGGCGATAAACACAGCAACAATATCGTGCCAAAGTGTGCGAGGCATGCGCTTCGATCCAGTTCGAACTAAAAATAGGATTTGTTTTATAGCATATAAAGGTCAGCGGTAGATTTGTTATTACCAAGAATACAGGGGTATTCTTGATATTTCAGGAAATTGCAGAGAATTCTCTCTTATTTTTAACAAATTCAGGTAACATATACAAAAAAAATTGTAAATTTATTGCTTGCAATAAAGCTTTATATTCTACTTAGTTTTTTTAATTAAATTTTATATTTTCTTTATTGTTAAAACATGGAAATTTGTCAATTAAAAAATAAAAATTATTCCATATCTTTTTTAATTTTTTTAAATTAATATTTTATACTTTTAAATGAAATTATATTAATTTTTTATTTAAAATTTTAAGATAAATATACTTTTATAAAATATTAAATGAATAAAATAAAAGAAAAGAAAATAAATATTTTTTCTTCCATTCTTTTCTTTTCAACTTATATTTTCAAATAATTTTTTTAAAGCTTTGATATATATATATATATATATATATATATATATATATCTCCATTGTAAATATAAAAAACTAAGACAACAATTTGATGGTTGCCTAATGGATTGGTCTAAGCTTTGACTTACAATATTCACCGTATATGCAAGATCCATCTTTGTGCCAACCATTGCATACATAAGTAAGCTTACTATTGCCTTGTATGCAATGTCTTGCATTTCATCTTAAACTTCAGCAAATTCCTAATTTGTGAGCTTCATCAACTTTAAATTGGCATCTATAAGTGTTTTAATGGACTTGTACTCCTCTATATTAAATCATTTCAATACTTCTTTAATGTATTTGCTTTGGCTCATTGTAATGGTCTTGCTACCATAATCTCTTACAAATTCCACTCTTAAATAGTAGTGGAGCTCTCTCAAATTACTCATCTCATACTTTTTCTCTAACTTTGCCTTCAACAAATCCATCTTCTTTATGGTGTTACTTAATGTCATTAAATCATTAATATAAGAGATAACAATGAATATGAATTCATTTGATTATATTATATATAAGGAATCATCAACCTCACTTCTTACAAATCTTTCACAAAAAATGTATCAATACATTGATACCATGCCTTTCGTAATTGTTTAGTCCATATAAAGATTTCTTCAATTTATAAACAAGGTTTTCTTTGCCTTCTTTTACAAATCCTTGCGGTTGATTTATATAGATGTTTTTTTCAACTTTTCATTCAAGAAAGGCATCTTTACATCCATTTGATGCATCTCAAAGTCCATTGCTACTCCAATTGCTACAATGATTCTAATGGTAAAGAATTTGGCCACAGAAGAAAATGCCTCATTGAAATCAACCTCTACCATCTTCATCATCTTTATATTCTTTTTTCTTTAGAAGAATTAAAGATATATCTACAAATACTTTATTACTGCCATTTAGATATATCTTCAAGTACTCAGAAGCATTTTTATGCTCCAAATATTCAACATCATAATTTTTAATGATCTTCTTGATTTCTAAACATATTAGCCTAAATGCCTTGATATCTTCACAATATCCAATAAATATACATTGTATATCTTTTGCATCAAATTAAGACCTCATACTATTTAGTATTTTTGCATAAGCAATGCATCTAAAAGTCTTCATGTCCAAAATACAAGGTTTCCTCTCACTCTATACTTCTATTAGAGTTATTGATGTGAGTGCATTTGTGTCAAGGACAGGAACTTGATGAAAAAACAATCCGGACAAGTGAGCCTTCATTCAAAGAAAGGTAACAAAATATAAATAAATAAGTATGTATATTGAAAGAGAAACTAGAATGGCTATTGCCAAAAGATAAGAAAACTAGAGACCCTTGAAACTAAACTAGAAGCAAGAAAGGAGTTGACAAGAGTGAAGAAGGCTTCACTCTTGTCTCTATATATACTATCTAACTAGAGGCTACGTGGCGACGTTCTATAGGACCTCCAATATGTGTTGACTTTGTAGGACACATGCCTTGACTTACAAGGCAAGTTTTTTTACGTGTGGGCCACATAGTTAGCTTGATCTTCAAGCTAACAACATGTGTGGCACATGGCCAACTTTTTGACCATGTTTATAATCCAAAAAATCAATTAAAGACACCTATGAAGTCAAAGCAGCATCTATAAAGCTTCTAGGAAGCTTCCATATTAAATACTATAGAATTAACTTACTTTTAGTTACTTTTACTTACTTCTACCTATTTGTATATGTAATTACTAGCTTACATGAGTATATCCGTGACATTATCCCTCCTTCTAGAGACGATATCCACGAGGAGCGATCATCATATGTTGAAGAAATCTATAATGCGACAAATTGTATTCGCCACATACTCTGATCTTTGTTTTCTTCGAAGATGATTGATAGGGCCTCTCAACCATCGATAGTGTCCCATACCAGGGCGGGAAGACCACGCAGTTATTTGATCATTGTTGAGGCCTTCATAACTTCCTTCGAATAGAACATTTGGAATACCATCAGGAGTTGTTCCTACCTCTAGCAAAATCACCAAACATCGGAAGTCCCTTCCCAAATCGTGATACCAAACACGTTGTATCTTGCCATCTATTCGAGGAAGAACATGTCGTTCTTAAAGATCTTCATCTTAATTGTGTCGTCTTGAAAGTTGTGACAATCGTAATGTCTCGTCCAATAGGTCAGCAACTGAAGGCTCTTGAGTCGAATCCGCTGGTTGTTAGTTCTCCATCTTTTGAGTGTCACAACTATAAAGAAGCTACAAACAAGGATTAAAAGTAGAATGTTATATTACCTAGATGTTCTTTCTTTTATAAAGAAGGTTTACATCTTGATTTTGATGGATGTCGTCGATAAAAAGCCTCCACCGCCTTTGCTGTATTTGTAAGATTCTTTATTGGCTCCCATGTGCATTCACTATTATCATATCCACGTCAATGGATAAGATATTCTAATTTATTTCGGCGCCCCCTTGAATCTAAGACTTCTTCTACTTCAAACTCTTTATTATTGTTCCCTTCTATAGGAGGAGGTGGAGCTTGTCATCTTCTTGATAGGTCCACTGTCTTGTATGGTTCAAGAAGAGATACGTGGAATACTCGATGGATTTTCATTGACTCTGGTAGATGTAAACGATATGCAACTGGATTGATTTATGCAGAAATAGAAAATAGTCCAAGCCTTCGATAGTCCAACTTGTCACAAGGACGAGCGATCTTGATATTGCGACAAAGTAGCCATACCTTATCATCCAAGAGGAATGGTGGTTGTTTCTTTCGATAGACATCCGCATTGACCTTTTGTTGTTCTTGAGCCTCTTTTAACTGCACTTTCATCGTTGCATGTAGCTCTGATAAATGAATCGCCAAATCTTTCACAACAGAATTATTAACTTTTGAAAAGTCAAAAGTATCAAGTCGTGGATGATAACCATAATTAGCAAAGAAAGGTGTTTATTTTGTAGAAGAATGTACCGTGTTATTGTAAGCAAACTCTACCAATGGCAAAAGAGTTGTCCAATCATCTTGTTGGTAATTAATGGTACATCTTAAATATTGCTCCAAAACTTGATTAACACGCTCCATTTGTCCATCAGTTTGAGGATGGAATGCCAAAGATAGTTTTATATCCACTTTAAGAATCTTGAAAAGAGTCCGCCAAAATCTTGATACAAATTGAGTTCCCCTATTTGATATAATATCCTTGAGTAATCTATGATACCGATAGATATTGTCAAGAAATAGCTTAGCTGTTTCTTCACCTGTGATAGATTTTGTACATGGTACAAAATGTGCCATCTTGGTAAAACAATCTACTATTATAAATATAGAATCATAAGAACTTGAGATTGGAAGATTCGTCATGAAGTCCATAGAAACAAAAGACCATGGTTGTTCCGGAATGGATAATGGCTGAAGAAGTCCAAAAGGTCGATGACGAGGAGTTTTTGATCTTGAGCAAACATCACATAATTGTACAAAATCTTTGACTACCTTCTACATTTGAGGCCACCAAAAATCCCTAGATATCAGCTCTAAAGTCTTATTATATCCAAAATGTCCTGCTGCTGGGAAGTCGTGATGAGCTTGAAGAATACGTAAATGTGCTTCTCCTTCTAGAACATGTAGGCATCCTTCAAAATAGAGTAGGTTGTTCTTGAATTCAAATTTAGAGGGATTTTGAGATTGAGAAGAATTATTCTTGATATCATGAATAAGATGATCTGAAGACGTACTTAACTGGACTTGCTTAAGAAATGTTAAATCAACAGTCAATGTTGATTTTATTGCTCAAAGATGAAATTGCTCCGGCTTCAAGAGAACCATTCTTTGTTGCTCAAAAGCTGCATCTTCTTCTTTTGGTGCAAGATAAGAATGTCTAGATAAGGCATTGGACAAACCTTATTGTTTTCCTAGCTGATAAGTGATGATGAACTCGAATCTTGATAAAGACATGCTCCAACGAGCTTGGCGACGATTTCATACGCATGCTGACATAAAATATTTGAGGTTCTTGTGATCGGTATATACAGTGATTGGACTAGAAGCGCCTTCTAGATAATGACGCTATTCTTGAAAAGAATCCACAATTCCAAGAAGTTCTTTATCGTGGATTTCATAATTGATTTCTGCTGTTGAGAATTTTCTTAAATGAAAGGCTACTGAATGAAGTTTGTCATCTGTTCCCATTTGTGATAAAACCGCACCCAAAGCAAAGTCTAATGCATCTGTTTCCATAAAGAATGCTTTGAAAAAATCAACACAATACAAGATTGGTGCAAAAACAAATGTTGTCTTCAAAGATTCAAAAGCAACTTCTGCTTCTTGATTCCATTGGAGTTTGTCTTTACAAGTCAAACGTGTAAGTGGAGCTGCAACTCGAGAGAAGTCTTTGATGAAGATCCGATAGTAGTTGGCAAATCCCAAAAAACATTGGACATCTCTTACCGTTTTTGGGATCTTCCAATCTATAATAGTTTGAACTTTCTTAAGATCCATCATAAGTCCATCATTTGAAATGATGTAATTTAAGAAATCGACTTGAGTAGTGTGGAATCCACACTTTTCTATCTTGGCATGGAGTCTTGCATCTCTTAATATTTGTAACATTCAATGAACATGAAGTTCATGTTCTTCTGGATTCTTAGACTAGATCAAGATATCATCT